CATTAAATTAAAAAAATGATTAAGCATTGTTAAACCTGAAATAAAAACATTAAAAAGTTAAAATATAATGAGCATTATTTTTAGCATGTGTTAATACTTTTTTCGATTGCTTCTCTAACATTGGATTATATCAAACAAATAAGGATGTCCGACCGGCCTGTGTGGCTAATTACTTCATATCTTAAATATGGAAATGCCTCCTACTGCTAGGCCTAGGGCCAGGCTTGGACTTGGTCAGACTTCATAGCATGTGATTGGGTCTGACTATGGCCATGTGAAAAGCGTATTTGTTAGATAAGCTCGTACGTTACTTTTCTCTGCGCATGTGACTATTTCCATAATGCATCTTCCTCCAACATCAACACATGTCCTCTTTTTCCTTTGGTACATTACAACCCCACCATTTTTTTTTTCCCTTTGAATCCACGAATAGGATAAACTGAACATTGTACCCGACAACTTTCACATTTTCCCCACCAAGACCTCAAACGATTTTCAGTTTTTCATAAATAAGTTCCTCGAACACTAGTTTTTGGACCTATTCAGTCCAGTCTACAAGCTTAGGGACTCAAAATAAAAAGCAAGAGGGGTTGATCTGGAAAAAAGTGATTTTCAAGGGTGGCTTCTTTATGTCTGTATTATATTATATATAGAGTGACTTGGGAGTCTTGGACACAGGCAAGCATTCCAACTTGAGTTCCCTTGAAGATGTATAGACTTGCAGCTGTTAATCTTCTCCTCTGCACCTTTGCTTATCTACTTCACACTGGTTCAATCTCATTTCTCTTTCTCTCTCAATTTCTTTTTGTAAGGATGTTTTGAACCTAGTGATCCAACAAACATTAAGTTCTAGTAACTCGATTAAAGCTTGACTTGTTTGCTATGATTTGCAGGATGGGCAGTGAAATGTTCGAGCAAAGATGGTCCGTCAGTGCAGCAGACGCAAACAGGGTTCGGAAGGCCTCCAACGTTCATGGTAGAAGTGCAGAACAAGTGTCCTACATGCCCAGTTATAAACGTTCACTTGAAATGTGGAAGCTTTTCTCAGGCTCTTGTAAATCCCAGATTGCTCAAAGTGGTTGCCTATGGAGATTGTGTAATCAACAGCGGCCTTCCGTTCCAACCATTGCAGAAATTTTTCTTCAATTACACTCATCAAAAGTACCTCATGCATCCTAGTACTTGGAACTTCCAGTGTGAATGATCCCTTCTTGAAGAGTCGAACTTCTAACCCTAAGTCCCTGACCTAGCCTTAAGGTTTTAAAGTTTGTGGGTTCAAATTTTCAAATGTAGTTCAAGTATCAATATTTCGAGGTACATGCGTGAATGCATACTTCAAAAAATGCAGCATTTCCTTCAACTGAGCTTAGCAAGATACAATACAATACCCCCACCTCTTTCTTTGAATGATGGCGGCCATATCATATAGCATGTCTAAAATTTAGGAAGAATAGAACAAAACTTCAACATTTCGAGAGTAAAATTTACAATTTTCCTTAATAATTTGAGGCAAGGTTTTGCCTTAACCCCAATTCCTTAATTAGATGTGCGTTTACAGAAGTTACAAACTGTCATAAATCCACTCTAGCATGACAATGTACATAATAATAATAATAATAATAATAATTCAGACTCTGTGAACTTAGTAATCTTTCCTGAATTTCCACAAGTTCACTACGGCAGGGAAAAATGGAAAAGAAAACACACAGCGAATGTACAGCTCAAATTCAAGGTATTCACCCTAGACTTGCGCTGGAGACAAACTAGGGAGATCTATGTACAAGGTCATGTCAAGTTTTCGATGCACTATGTCCTGACAAATCTCTTCATTCTCATTTTATATGGAATTTCGCTTTATCTTAATGACTACTGGTCTATTGCACTATCTATGGCATATATCAGTTAAAAAGATAATGCAGCAATGTCGTTAAGAAAATGAAAATTATAACAAATGGGGCATTCTGGTTGCAAGCAGAAGGAATTGAGTGGGAACCTACTAGATGTACTGTTCCTGTCTGCTCGTCCTTCACTTGAATGCTTGAGGAGCCTGAAAGAAACCAAACAACTTTCAAACAAAAGGGTTCATAAAACTCTTCAGATACGAACCTTTCATGATATATACAGCTTACGGGAAAAAGGTGGTTAAAAAAAACAGATTAATACTCATTTGAAATCATTTGGACAAGAGAGAGAGAGAGAAGAGTGTAAAATGCAGAATAAATCATTTGAAAGAAATAAAAGGAACCAAAAAAAAAAAAAAAAAAAAAAAAAAAAAAAAAAAGAAAAAGAAAAAAGAAGAAGATAAAACTCACAGTTGTACTCTGTCCATCCAATAACCTGATTTTCTAGATCATATAAAACAAGCTTGTTTGAAAGAGCTAAATCTGTAAAAGGCACAGAATATAACCTAAGGTTAAAAGAACACAAATACCTGTTTTCTACATATAGCAAAATTATCATAGTTTATGAACTGTTTCAGTAATATAAAATTAGAAACTACGACATAATGATATTGATTAAATATAACTGACCTTTTTTTTTGGCCTTCATTATTACTGACCTTTAATCAACTATTTTCTATAACTTCCTATGCATATACAGCGGAGCCTATACATTGGTAAGGGCATTTCAGAAAAATTCGGGTTGCAAAGACCTGACATATATTTTTTTGGCCATGACAAAGACCTAATATGATTGGACTAATTGTAAGAGTAGTGGCAAGAAACTTGACTAATCTAAGAGTTACTGAATGTTTTAAAGAGATCTTTCCTTCATTTCCATGTGATATTTAAAAAATTGAGAAAATAATAAATTAACAGAATGTTGCACTTTGTTAGGAAAAACTTAATAGAACAAAATAGGGCTAAAAAAATGAACTTTAAGGATTAAAATGGGAATTTTTTCCAGTCAAGGGACCAAAAAGGGGCTCCGTACAAAAATTAATAGAACAAAATGGGGTTTCAACCTTTCCTTAACCTTTTTAATGGGTTCACATGTGCAGTAATGTGTTTCTTCCCCTTTTAGAAACTAGAAATGTGAAAATGGCTTGATTTGAGAATGAAATGGTTTGAAATAACAACAGAGCTGGAAGAAGATCATTCCTAAAACTTTCCACATACTCAAAGCACATAATATTCTAATTAAAATAAACATCTCAAACTACAAAATCAATGAAATAAACCATAGCCTCCATACTATTAGTAAGAACCCCAGTAAAAAATATTGCATGTGGTTCTAACAAAATTATAGTTCAAAGTTATAAGGAGCTTTAAACCTCCCAAGAAAGGGGGCGAATGTGACATGAGATTCTGTACAATCTATACCCAGAAGGAATAGTATTCAATCAAGGGTAAGTTCAAATGAATTTTGGGACATACCTCCCAAGAGGGTTATGTTTCTTCTATCTTTAGATAGCATTCCACTATTTTGCCATCCGATACACCAAAAACCTTCCTGCAAGATGCATGTTTGAAAATAAGAACTGAAAAGTAAAATTGCTTCAATGATGGCATACAAAGAAAAGTATATGATACTTGAACTTAGGATAAGGCTTCAAGAAACCTCTCCAAAATAATCATGCTATTAAGCAGGAAAGGGATATACAATTCACAACACCATCAAAAATAAACACAAAACCAGTTGAAGAATCAAATGTAAACAAAAAAACAACATAACCATTGTAATGATCAATTTTTATATCTAAACATACTTACATAGGGGAATAGGTATTCATGTGGATGGACCTTCAAGAAAACTGAGTTTTCAAAATAAAAAGTTACATTTGGAAATCCTTCATCGAGACTGCAACAAATGAAAACTATAAATAAGCCATAACATTCACTGACCAGTGCATGAACTTGTTTGTAGGTCAGAAAAACAAACAAATAAATAAAGAAACCATGTAATCCAAATAATCTAGCCAAAGCAGAGAACCATAATGACTGAGGATATATACAGTAGATAGAATCTCAGTGTGACTCACCTGGATTACCATGAAGTAATACAACAAAACAACAAATAAACCAAAGAGCATAATTAACAAAATAAAGAAAACATGGAAATAAGCAAAAAGCATACTGTAGATGCAGTGGTGTGGTATGGTGTCAAGAGCATGTTTGGTTCAGCTTCCAAGTGCTTCAGCTTTTTGACACTATTCATGTTTCATAAGTTTAAATTTCCCTCTTAAAAACTTACATTTTAAAACTTTTTTTTAACCTTAAAAAGACCTCAAACAGTAAAAGCTCAAAAACTTCAAATTTAAGCTTTTCATAAACTTCCTTTTTACTTACTTTTTACTCACTTGTTCCTATCTCTAAAAGCAACTTTTAAATTTTCCCTCCAATAAAAATTTAAACCTATCACTAATGAAAAATACAAAAAAAAGTAAAAACTCTTACAAGCTAACCCACACATGCTCCAAATATCCTTTGGAAGATAAATAACAAACTCCTGTTCACAATAAACCAAAGAGATTGCAAATTTGCAATGAACAAAATGGTCTGAATTTGTTCTCATTCAAATTTAAAATCTCAATTATTATCATTATTTAAAAAAAAAAAGAAAAGAGGAAAGATTGAGGAGCAAAGCTTTGATTAAATTTAGAACATTCCATTAACCATATAATCATTATTGAAGTTTGGAATGCCCATATCTTTGGCTGCCTTTTTTCCCCTTGATAGGAATTAGTAATTAAGAGTTAATAAAAATTCATAAATGAATAGGACTTTGGTTATTTGGGAATTGGAACAATAATTTTATAGATATATATACTCAACAACTTTATGCAGTTGTAATCCAATGAAAATATCCTATGCATCATACCTCTCAGAATATTGAAAGCAGGTATAGTCATCGTGAAGAGTGCGGACCTTCAAATCAGGCTGCTGAGAAATTATCTACCAAAAGATGTAAAACCTATAAGGAGGCAGCAAAAATTCTCTCCAGAAGATATAAATAATATTTCACATCATCTACCTTATTGACTAATGGCTCATAAATCATTTCTGGGAGATAGGCCAAGGTTGTTCCACTGTCTATTATTGTCCCTCTTTCCCCTACCTCAGATAAATCTGTTGTAAACTTTAGGAAATCACCACCAACTTGAACTGCCGTCATATTGACATTGTAATGTGGCCTAGATTTAAAAAAAAAAAAACAATATCTTGTTTAATAATAGGCAATATTTAACATGATTTAAAAGAATAACAGAAGTAAGATACTGCAGAAAGAAAACAAAATAAACCCAAGACCAAATAGACTATCATCAACACTCTAGTTCCATCATCTCTTCTTAAGCACACAAGTAGAACAATGCCACCCCTTGGAAACAATGAAAAAAGCAAAATAAATGACATTTGAACTTTCCCTTTTCCCTAACTAGTGTAACAACTACTGCACCAATCACTATAAAACACACCTGTCATGAAGACCTGATAATAAGTCCATCACGGTAAGCAGATAGTCAGCATAACAACTTCAATCTTTTTTCTTTTCCCTGGAAGGGTCCGACCATATTTAACCAGTGTAGGTTGCTATAGTAAACTATATGCAAGTTGAAATGTAATTAGGTTCACATTCAGATTCCATACAAAAATTAAAAAGGTTACTCTGAAGAGTAATTGAGTTTGACTGCATTTTTTAAATTTAAAAAATTGCAGTGGTCACCGAAAGGCTCATCCCTCTTGAAGATCTGATAACCAATCCATCCTAGAATGTAATGCTTTCCTCCTAAACTAACAATAAACAGAACAAACAATGCTAAACGAAATAAAAGAAATACTATCAGAAAATACAAGATATATCCAATGAAAGTATGTTATCCCAAGATTTACAATAGTCTTATATTCAAGATGGGTGCTCTGCCTATTTCCACTTTTTTTTTTTTTTTTTTCCTTAAGATTTTCAATCAAGAAGTTATAATAAGATATTGCTAAGTAAAGAATGAGTAAACGATGCACTGAAGATAATTACATACTGATTTGGTATCAAAGACGTCATGTTAACTTTTGGTTGCACAACATAACCAATAGCGAAGATACCACCTCCATTGACTCCATCTAAACAATGTGCAAACATCTTTTTCATTTTTCCAGATGCAGCAAGCTGAGATATTACTGATGAATTAGCTTTTCCAAAACCAAGTATCCCATCAAGTGCTTCTTCATTAGATGAATCTAGATTCCCAGATTGCCTAGCACCACACCTATTGAAAATGAAAATTAAAAAAAACTATATTAATATCTAAGTAGGCATGTTAGAGGGAACCTAAAAGTATTAATGGTACATATCAATCCTGTAAAGCAAAACAGTGGGAATCCATAACAAATGGAATTACATTCATCAGTTAAAGGCATGAAGTTCAGCAGATTAAACTTAAATGCCAGATTTATAAATGGATATTATGTTAACAGCCGATTATAATCATTTGGAAAGTCAAATGAATGCATGCACGACCATTACATATTCAGACTTCAAAAAGACATACTGCACACATATCAAACGCATGACATTCAAGAGAAGAAACAGTATTAAAATCAATAACTGACCCAAATATCACACTTCCATTTCCTGCTGTTGTTTGAAGATCACCAGACACACGATCATACTGTACATCATCTGATACAAAGTATCCTGCAGTGGAGCTCCCATCTCCATAAATCTCAAGATATGGACATGACATTGACATATTAGCTTTACAACCATTCAATTGACCTCCATTTATCTCCTGGCAAAATTCTTGATCACAGTAAACCATTCTCCCAGTGGACGAATCATTTATGTCATACAGTGTAAGATCTATCTGTAAGAAGAATTAGAATGATTCAGACATGCAGTACCAAAACATCTACACCAGCAATTCCTGACTATAGGATGCAAGTACCAAAACTATATACATTAAAAAAGAATTATAGTAAATAGATATGGAAGAGGCTTACACCGAGAGAACTTCTTTTGGGGCATTCCTTACACTGAATGCAATTAACCCACATGAGGTCGCTTCCTGTATCTACTTGCATATAGTAGTTCTTCGTAGGTGTTCCAATTCCAATCTTTGCATAATAAAGCCTACAGTACGCCTCAAAGATCAGTGAATTACAGAAAGGAAAAACAGGAAAAGCACGATCACAGGAGCATGCAGGTCATAACCAAACATGAATTGGAATCGAGATATAAGGAACGAAGAATTTACACAACTGCAAGAAAACTGAATTAAAAAAGGCAAGTTGAATCTGGAAAGAAAAACAAACCCGACGGCGTCATGGCGACCGGAGCTACCTAGAGGGAGATCAACGCCGGCGACGGCGAGGATTCGGAGCTGGCGGAGACTATCATGCTCCTTGAAAGCAGCCAGAGAACGTTCCTGACCGGCGTATTTGGATTTGACGCTGAAGATGCTGGCAGCAATAGCAGTGGTGACGAGCATGGAGGATAGGAGAAAGGAAGCGACCAATCTCGCCATCTTCTTCGTGTCTGTAAATTCCGATTAGAAAAACGGAAAAGAAAACGATGATGCCGCGATGCTCCAACAAAGAGCTGGAAAGACACAGCGGTCGGTCTCCAGACTGGGGCCCGCGCATTTTCCTCCGAAAATTGATATCGCACTTTTTTTTTTTTAAATTCTCCGATAATAATTATATTACCTTTCAATTAATTTAAAATTAAATTAAGTTGGATTTTATTAGAAGTTAAATTTTTACAATACTCGTTTTTTCATTGGTAAAATTTAAATTTAAGATTTTACTTAATAAAAATAAAGTCCTTTCCACTCCAACAATAGATGGTCGGTATTTATATTTCACTTTCGGTGTTGGTAAATACTAGTTTGAGGGATTCGATCCAACTACCATATAATTTTTCAAAAAAAAAAAATGAACTATGACCTTTTTATTAATTAAAATTATTATTTTTTAAAAATTTTAATTAAGAATATGATTTTTATAATATTTATAAAAAAAATATTAAGTTAGTGTGGAAGATGATATTCTTGATTATAAATTTTTAAAAGGTGGTAATTTTAATTAGTAAAATTGTAAAAGTTATATTCTTAATTAAAAGCTTTTAAAAGATAGTAATTTTAATTAATAAAGAAAAAAATTGTACCCTTAATTAAATTTTTTCGAAAGACTAAATCTTTATTTGTATTAATATAATTTTTTGACCTTTAAAATATAAATTTTAGATAAAAATTTAATAATTTATATAAACAATGATAAAAAAAATTTTCTTTTCATATATGTTTTCTTGTTAAATATTTTTATTTGATCCATAAAAATTTTAATTATTATTTATATAATATATTATTTTTTTATATAAAATTCATATTTAAAAAATTAAAAAATAAAACTAAAATTATTACTAAATAAACAAAGGGAGTATGATTTTTTATTTTTTACTACAAAAGTCGTATATAAATTTTATGGCAATGCTAGAACTATGGGCCTCTGTGGTTAAAGTTTAGCTGTTAATTTTGTTATAAAAGTTTTTATCCTAAAAATAGTTAAAAGAATTATTGTATAAATAGTCAATGAATTTTTTAATGAATAATTTTTGTTGGAGCTTTAATCTAAGGAAGCATATGAATGGTAATAACTTCTTTAGAGGTTGTTGTATTCATAGTCATTTTCTTTTAATGTTAAAATAGTATTTGAAACTCATCTACTTTTACTCATCTT